AAAAAAAAAAAAAAAAAGTAATATACCACCAGATATATACACACAACGGCCACAAGCACATCTGACTTTCAGAGCATCTAGACAATGACCTATATAAGCCATTAGAAGACAATGATAGAAGATATTTGTCTTCAAATGTTGGCTCTGATCATCAGACTGTTCACTCACCTGGGGACAAGACAGAGTTACAGTCAGAGTTAGGTTTGAGTTAGGTATGACAAAGGGAACATTTTCTGAACCATGGATCAAGGGGAACTTATTATTTTATCACTTTTTTAATTTATATTTTTAAAAAATTGAAGAACAATGGACATAAAGTATTGTATTAGTTTCAGGGGTACAACATGGTGATGCGACATTTATATATGATACAAAATGGCAACCATAATAAACCTAGTTACCATCTGTCACCATAAAATGTTGCTACAGTAGGAACACCTGGGTGGCTCAGTTGGTTAAGTGTCCAACTCTTGATTTCAGCTCAGGTCGTGAGATCAAGCCCTGAGTCGGGCTCTGCCCTTGGCATGGAGCCTACTTAAGATTCTCTTTCTCCCTCTCCTTCTGCCCCTCCACCCCCACCCCGGCTTGCCCGCCCACTCGCTCGCTCTCAAAAAAAAAAAAAAAAAGTTTTTACAGTATTATTGACTATAAAGGGGAATTTAAATGGGAACTTAGCCACACTATGATACGACATTGTTTTCCTTCAGGGGCACAATAACATTGGGAAGGGCGGGAACTTAGCCACACTATGATACGACATTGTTTTCCTTCAGGGGCACAATAACACTGGGAAGGGCACAGTGTTTGTTGTGAGGAAAAAGGATCTCTAGGTCCTGTGAGGCACTGAGGACAGCACTGCTCAACTATTTGTCTGGATGAAATCCACAAAAGAAGGAAAATTGTCTTTACAAATGACCATAGGATTTGGCCAGTTGTTAATTAAGACTATTTTAGTTAGTTTATTCAGACTCCAGAAAAAAGTAAAAATTTTGAAGGGTTTCATTTGATGTAACCAAAACTAGGTACTGCTTCCGATGAAAAGGTAGAATAAAGCCTGACACTGGATGGAAAGTAGTAAAATGAACATACATTACTCACAGGCCCAGCCCTCATGCTGTGACAGCTTGTGAGTTTGAGAAATGCATCTGAGCTGACGGGAACTGGAACCCAGGAATTCAGGAACCCTTCCTGAACCGCTCTGGCCAGTCTTTCGTCTTACAAAACAGGGTGACCTGAAGCCAGCACCAGGGCCCTCAGGGCTTCTGTGGATAGTAGCCCCCAGCCTGAGCCCTCACTTCCCCCCAAAATCAGGGGGCTGTGGCTTCTGCTCCATGCCAACACCGAGTCCATCCGAAGACGGCTTTGTAGTTGGAGCTTTCCAGGCATGTTTGCACACCTAAGTGGCTGGAAGTCATCTGTGTGATCAACTAGACTCGAAGAGGAAAATTTCGGCATTCTCTAGCTTCACGTTCAGAGAGCACCTCCGTACAATTGACATCCCCTTGGAAAAGATGCTGGGCCAGGTACACGTAGCTGCTATGAGACAATGAAGCAGTTACGACCGATTTACTGATGTCAGAATCCCAATCTTTGGGATAGCAGTTTCAAGGCGGGGCTTTTAATTTCAGCCCTGTACTTGACCTCAAAAACACTTTTTCTAAGCAAATCTTTCTAGGCGCGTCTACTGTGGCGAGATAAAAGAAACGTAATTTCAAAACTATTCGTTAAGTAGTCACAAAAAGCAGGCAAAGTAAGTAGTGCTTACGGTGCCTTAAAAACTGGCAGTAACAGATACCTGAACTTGAGCAGTTGCACGAATTTCATCTGGAGACTGAACGAGCCAGATGATGGGGACAACGGCTATAGCAGCAGCTTTGAAGTTGGACTGCATTACACTCGCATGGTTTTAAAAAGCTGAGGAAATCTGATGAGTTTTTAGAACAGTCCTCGGTTAAATATATTGCTTAAATATAACATGTTAATAAACTAGCTACAATGGCAGTGTAAATGCTGAACCCTTCTCTCCTCCTAAAATGGAGTGTTAAAGTTAGCAAAACCCCGCTGTTACCAATGTATTCAGCAAGCCAAAACCCACAGCGACAGCCAACAGTATTTGAACCTATAAAATCAAATAGAAGGTGCCAGATCTTCCTAGTCCCTCAAACTAGGGCAAGTTTCCAAAACTACAACAAAATCCTGTCCCGTGTCTGGGGTCCCCTGAGAGCCTGTCTGCTGTAAGCTTAACTGTCATCGTTAACAGAACAGGAGATCATTTTAGAAGCTGAAGATTAGTATATAGAGAGAAATCTTTACACTTTGGAAAAGCTTTAGTAATGTAAACATATTAAGAGTAGACCTAGATACTGTAGTCAAAACAGGGAAAAGAAAACTTCATTTTTATTTCACATGCTTCAGTGCTGAGAATATCAAATGAGCTAATGTATGTAAAAGCTTCTCGTAAAAGTACTGTTATCACTATATTCCTGGGGGTGATCCTCAGAGTTCTTCATTTTGGCAATGTGTCTCCAGTTTCCTCTGTGCAATTCTGGTCCTTCTGTACAGATGTGCACTCCAGTAGCCAAGTGAAACACATCTGTGCATCAATTCTCTGCTCCTACTTTGTGCGGCTGCTAGAGTCTATAGTTACGCAGAGCCACAGGCCAGAAATAGATGAGTGCAATTGTTCTTGCGGGGGGCGGGGGGGTTCCTTCAAAAGCACTGGACACCGAGACATGCTGAGGAGAAGACTCTCTCCTAAGAAGTCCATGAAAGAAACTGCTGATGAAAGTCTAGGTGTCTGATATTCCCAGAAAGCAACTGGGTCCTATGTGTTACCAGCCTCTAACATGTGTTATTCTTTGAGCCATCTGCCTCCCCTCTATTTTCTTTGTTACGAAGAAACAAGTGGAAAAATAAACAAGATTGTATAGACTGCGTTAGTTGCAATGGAAGCAACAGTAATATCTAACACATTCATAGCTTATGAACAAACATTAAAAAAATTGTTCTAAGCACTGTGTTCTTCATGTAATCTACCAGATGAGGTAGCCACTGTTATTTCACTCATTTTAGTGAGGAGGAAACAGAGGCAAAGAGAAGACCAGTGAGTTGCCAAAGGTCATCCTGCTAGAAATTCAGAGGCAGTGGGAAAGAATCAGGGCAACCTCTTTCCTAAGATTAGACCTCAGATTAATCACAAGCAATATACAGTAAGTGCAAAGCTGGCCTTTAACTCCTAACCACTTTACTGTATGAGAAATTCAAACATGGTGGGGCGCCTGGGTGGCTCAGTCATTAAGCGTCTGCCTTCGGCTCAGGTCATGATCCCGGGGTCCTGGGATGGAGCCCCGTATCAGGCTCTCTGCTTGGCAGGAAGCCTGCTTCTCCCTCTCCCACTCCCCCTGCTTGTGTTCCCTCTCGCTGTGTCTCTGTCAAATAAATAAATAAAATCTTAAAAAAAAAAAAAAAAGGAAAGAAACTCAATGGTTTGTGGCCAAAATGGTTAGTGGCCAAAAATGAATTTACTTTTCCCTAAACCTTTATTGCTATCTTTGCTACATTCAACATTTCTGAATATTATTCTAATTCTGAATATTGTTCTAAGGTCTGATGTCTTACATGGATGACCTCTGATCCCTCTTCTCCAGACTTTTTCTGTGGGACCTCTTCTGCCCCTCTATCAATGCCTTATCTATATATATATGTGTGCATACAGACAGCATTTATGAAGCTCTACCCTAACCTGTTCTCCTGTTCTGTTACACACCAGTCTAATAGCCATCTTCGTGGGGATTTCTCAAGAGCGCTTAAAGATGAGCTAACAGCACTAAGCAGTTCCAGACACTGGAATTGCAAACAAATCCCTCCCTAAACCATACACATCTAACCCTGCTTTTGACTACTGCCTTGACCGATTCTATTGAACTTTTCTCTAGTAAGCAAGGATATTAGCTTCGTTCTATTCTTTAAAAAAGCTATTTTTCCTTCTTTTAAAACGGATTATAACACTAAATGACATCTAGAGAAGGTTTTGCCCTATGAGAATACAAATTCTAGCAATCACATTAAATCCTTTTTCATTCTACCTACAGAATGGTTAATTTGTATTAAAATCTAGTTTTGATCCCTTTTAAAAGTGCTACAAACATTTATGTTTATATGCCTATCTTTAGGTCTATTAAATAATTAGCACTGAACTGATATAAACATTTTATTTTGTTAAATCTTCTGATTACTGTTTTTAGATAATATCTGCAAATATCACTTATTTTCAGAGCGATGGGATGGTGGAAAGATGACCAGATTTTCCATCTGAAGATGAGATTCCAGAATTTACTTTTTGGTTTACTCAGCCGGCATTTCTTGGTAAGTTTGAGTATCCCTGGGCCTCATTTTTCTCTCACCAAATTGAGAAGGTAAGACCAGACTGTTTCTAAAGTCCCTATAAGCTCTAAGATTTTACAGAACTCTAATAGTGAGGTGTCATGGAAAACCAGTGTGCACTGTCTTTAGTTTGAGGGCCCAATTTCTAAAACCAATGATTTTTTTTTTTTAATTTATCTTCTTCAGTGACTCAATTACAAAATACTTAACTTTAAATAGCTACTTCTTTTATAGGGTAATTGGACAGGGAAAAAAAAAAACCAACATTAATTTTACTATTTCTCTAATCCAACTCATCCTATTTCCTTGGTAGGTTGATAGTCAT